CTGTGTCGTGCTGACGCTGTGTGTGTGACAGGTCCTGTGTCGTGCTGACGCTGTGTGTGTGACGGGTCCTGTGTCATGCTGACCCAGGTCCAGGGAAGCACTGGTCTCTAAAGGGCTTAGCTGTATGTAATAAGCACACAATAAGCGTCAGGCGTTGCTCAGGATTGTCAATAAAGATCTGCTTCCTTAAAAGGCTTCCCAAATCAGTTCTATTTGAAAATTCTCTCTCCTCCTCCCCCCGCAAGGGCCTGTCTGAATGGAGAAATAAAAAATCTGTCTCCTTCAGCTCACTTTTCTTAGAAGTTGAGACATATGGCATCACACCTGCTTCTAAACACAGCTCCTTGATGTCTAACTTCTGGCAGTCCCTGCATATTTCCTCCTTGCCAATAAAGTTATTGAAATTGAAATATACCATCTGTTTGAGAGTCTGTATCAAAAAGACAGATGACACTGTTGCAGGCAGTGGCAGAGTCACCCTGTTCCCAGCAATCCATGCACCAGAATGTCCTTCTGCGCCAGGATAGAAAAGTCCAGGTCAGAGCCCCTCGTTCCCTGAAGCAACAGTAACAGCTACAGAGTCCGCCAAACACCCTGCCATTGGGCTGGAAAAGAAACAGCAAGTTCTGTTGGCGTTATATGTGTGCACATGTTTGTACATGTGTGTACGTATGTGCCTGTGTGCATGTGTATGCATATATGCACATGTGTGTGCCCGCGTATGTACGCCAGTATATGTATGCATGTATATATTCCCACTTTTCAAAAGTTCATGCTACACCACTTCACTTCTACAAAAGACCTACATTAGTACCTGTTTTCACAAACAGAAAGAAATCCGAAGAGGACTTTGACTTTTAAGAAAACAAGGGGAAAAGTGAAAATAGTGTCAGCATTTGTTTTGCTCGAGTGGTTAGAGGCAGGCCCCCCGCACCCTCAGGACCTCAGTACTCTCAGTGTTTGGGCCTTGTCTCCATGGGTTTTGTGCACCTTGGCAAGACAGGACCTTGGGTATCAGAAAAGCATAGGAGAGCGTGTAAGGGTGTTGCACTAGCGTGGAACGGGTTCCACATGAAGTTGTCACACTTAGAGAGCAGGAAGAGAGAGTCCTTCCCTCCCCCTCAGATTTCCAACCTCCGAAGCTGTCTTCTAAGCGTCCATTTCCACCGGCTGGAGAGAAGGACAGGTGTTATCCTCAGGTTCCTGTGCCTCGGCTCGGGGCGGGGGGGGGGGGGGGGTGGGGACCGTTTTTCTTACTCTGTGCCTGTCAGTATAGTAAATCCATAAGGAATAAGTGCTATGCAAAAAGCACAGAAAATAAGAATGCTCTCAGATTTAAACAATATGAATGCCAAAATTAGAAATTAAATAGGACTAAACATAAAGTTAAAAATCCCCCAGAGCATAGCATAAAAAGGGACTAAGAACAGAGACAAAATATGTCTGGGAAAAGAAAAGCAAAACTGAGGCCCAATGGGTGAGGTCCAGCACCTACCCAGATGGTCAGGAGGGAGAAAACGAATACAGGTGTGAATCAGAGACTTTCCAGTCGAGATGTACGTGGCTCTAGGTTTAAAAGACCCACCGAGTATCCAGCCAATAAAGGAGAAAAGACCCAAATCTAGCTACACCCTTACAAAGACATTTTCAGAGAGAAAATATCAAACCGTCAATAGACAAAAGGTTGCCACCTACGAAGGAAAAGAATCCAATCTACTTGCAACCTCATTCCAGCAATGCAGAATGCCAGAAGGGGGCGCCTCCCAGCTCCTGGGAAATCACTCCAGCCTACTGGCCAGCCTGCAAGCCAGCAGCCAGCAGAAGGGCAGAAGATTCCAGATGAGCAAGGACTCAGAAAGCCCTTTCTTAGCAAGTGATTTAAGGATATTGTCCAGAAAAATAAAGGAAACCAAGAAAGAAGATGGCAAAGGTTAGGAACACGAAATGAAGAGATACTATCCATACGTGATAGAAGGCCATCGGACACATAAGGATATTTTTATAGTCACTACGGTCATTCAATTAAATTATTTTAAAAATGGTGAATCGAGGAGCAGGCGCAAAGGCTCCAGGAGGGGATCCTCGGGAAGAAAGGATCATCTTCTGAAAGAAAGCGATTGAGAAACCAGGGGAAGGCTCATTGCGCCAGGGAAGAAATGAGAAAGGCAACAAGAACCTTCCAGGAAAGCATTGAGAGCGGCACAGGAAATTCACAGGCAGCACGTGGAACAGCTGTAACATGGCATGTGATTAGCATCAGAGCTGACGAGCTGTCAGACAATAGATGCCATCTGACCATGACACTGGCATGTGCCCCTCACACACGGGACCCCTCTAGGATCAAGTCACACCAGGCGGGAGGATGGAATTCCAGCAGACAATCCGACTCAACCCTGAGCAATGCGACGTCGACATAAAAATCTAAACACTTTTCATGGTAGTTAACTTCTCAACGTCACCTGATAAAAAGGCATAGGAAGCCTGGCTGTGGATTCAGGAAAGGATGTAAATATTACTGACAGGCGTAGTTAATGACAGTATGAACATGAAAGGGGAGAGAGGATGTGGGGGATGGGAAGAGGTACCAAGTCCATATTTTATAGAGATGAAGAGATACTGTCCATATTTGATAGGCCATACAGACGTATAAGTATATTTTTATAGTTACAATGGTCACTCAATTAAATTATTTTAAAAATAGTGAATCGAAATCATTAGGAAGAGAGTGAGGTCAAGTAGACTGAGCTAAACCTCATCTTTCAGATGGTGAGGCCAGCAGATAGCATCTCTAATGAGTGAATCAGGAAATTAGACATAAGTGATCATCTGGTTATGGAGTAACCGTCAGCAAAACCCCAACCACAAAATGGCAGAAAGAGCCTGCCTCTGAGAGGTGCTGGCAAAGATTAGTGTAAGAGACTAGACAAAAACAAGAAGCTATAATTTTAATTGAAAACAAAGAAAAGAATAAATATTATAAATATGCACGTGGAAATGCAACTTTAATTAGAAACCTGTCAGGAATTGAGGCAGATTTCCCGTGTTTCTGTTTCCATGCAGGCACACACATGTGCATGTACACACACACACACATGCACCCCTTTTCTTCTTCCTTCTGATACCTACTTACTCTTGGTTTCTGCTTCAGTTTGCCAGGACCCCTTTATCATTCAGGGTGCAGATCAGAAAGAGTCCAGACCCAATTAGGAAGAGACTCCTGTCAAAGGTGAGGCCAGGCTAAGGGAACCGGATGAAGGCTGGGAGCACGCTGGGCGTCACCCGGACGCCACAGGCTGAGGCAGGGAGTCAGGGAACGGGGAGAGGGCTTGGCTTTCCTGGGGAGTTGCCCTGAGGGGCTGAGCCCTTCTGAGAAGGATGAACCACTGCCAGTCACAACCAGATGGGCGGGAGCCAGGGCAAAAAAAGACCTCATCTCTCTCCCGAGCAAGGTGCCCAGTCTCCTGGGCAGTGGCAAGGCGGAGAGTGGCCAGGATTTGGAGGGGCAAAGGACGAACAGCAGCACCCCCTCCTGGCCTGGACCGAACTGGGCTTTTTTCCCATGAAGCCCTTTGTCACATCCCTCTGTGTAGGTGCTTTAGTTACTTTATTTCCGAGTTCAGATTTCTGCTGAGTGAATGCGAGCCCTCAGAGTCCGCATGGCCAGGCCGTGGACCAGCTGCCCTTGGGGCGGCTGCCTGGTCCCAGCAGCTGTATGGGAAGTGGAGGGGTGGGGGAGAGGGATGGGGAAAAGTATGACAGCCTCCCTCTGGGTGGAGCCACTTCACCTGCTGGCAGGTCTAAAACAGATGCAGGAGTGGCGCACGTATCACATACAAACTCAGCGACACTCATTGTAACTGTGATGACTTGCCTCAGGGCTCACGTGTTAAGGTTTATAGAGTCCTCTATGACCCAGGCATGGTGACGGTGCTTCACGGGATACCATGTGATCTGCATGGTGAGGGCACACCTGGTGGCAGAGGTCAGGCAGCCTGCGAGAGGGAGCCCAGTGATGGATGCCCCATGGGGGCTGCCTTTCACCCAGCCCGGGCAAGACTCTGGACTCAGGCTACTGATCGCTGAACACCATGCTGCCCACATCTGTGAGAAACAAAAGGAAAGCTAGCATCATCTTTTTTCTTTCTTAGTTTATTTTTTTTGGAGAGAGTGGAAGCGAGGGGGGAGGGGGGAGAGAGAGAGAGAGAGAGAGAGAGAGAGAGAGAGAGAGAGAGATGTGAGAGAGACACAGTGATTGGTTGCCTCCCGCACACACCTAGGCTGGGAATCGAACCTGCAACCCAGGTAAGTGCCCTTGACCTTGAATGGAACCCGAGACCCTCCAGTCGGCCAGCTGACACTCTAACCACTGAGCACACCAGCCAGGGCAGCAGCATCTTTTAAAAGAGCTTATCTTTGGGGAGAGTTTCCTTCTTTCCAGCACACTGGCTACCCAAGATGCCTCTGAGGTAAACTGCATACAGGATCTGCCCGATTATGTCTTACAACTGCACGTGACTCCACCTATGTGCATCTCAGAACAAAGCTAAATAAACGTCATAGGACTCACCTACTCAGTGAACAGACCTGCTGGCAGCTCCTGTTCCGGGCGCTGGGGGGGAGCAGAGAAGGGCAGACACGCGCCCTGACCTCCCATGAAAGCGGCTTCTCCAGACTTCACTCTGCCAGGTTGCTTGTAGTTCAAGTCATTAAATCCATGGTTATTCCATAAATGGTGATTAGAAAGTACTCACTTACTAACCCCTTGCAAAGTAGGTCTGATGGGTTTCTCTGGGTTACTTAGCAAGAGTTACAGTGCTTGTGAACAGCAAACCTGTCCCTGGTGGTAGCTGAGTGAGCCCCTCTTCTCCCCACCCAGTCTAGAACGCCCGGGGTTAAATGCGCTACTCAGCAGCTTGCAAGCTCTAACTCCGTCTCCCCGCTCCTTGCCCAGGTGGGAGAGCGCCCCCAGGAAGCTGTGACACAGGCCGCGGTCTGAGCCGGTGGATGTCCCTGATGAGTCACAGACCCTGGCGAATGCTCCCGGAAGAAGGCGCTTCTCCCGACCCTTCCACCGCCCTGGAGAGCCCAGCCGGCCGGGGGGATGCAGGCAGCCCACGGAGCCCGGCGGCCCCCTCAGCGCTGAGGGGCGCCCCTCCGGCGTTTCCGTCCGGACTCCCAGCTTCTCCCCAGGATGTCCTGCAACCGCACGTCCGCGGAGACGTTTGAATCCCTGCCGTCCAACGGGAGCCACGCGTGGGAGGCGGCGGCGGCGCCGCTCCGGGGGTGCCTGGCCGGCCTCCTGGTGCTGATGATCGCGGTGGGCTTCCTCGGCAACTCCGTGGTCTGCGTCATCGTGTACCAGCGGCCGGCCATGCGCTCCGCCATCAACCTGCTGCTGGCCACGCTGGCCTTCTCGGACATCATGCTGTCGCTGTGCTGCATGCCCTTCGCGGCCGCCACGCTGGTCACCGTGCGCTGGCGCTTCGGCGACTCCTTCTGCCGGCTCTCGGCCGCGCTCTACTGGTTCTTCGTCCTGGAGGGCGTGGCCGCCCTGCTCATCATCAGCGTGGACCGCTTCCTCATCATCGCCCAGCGCCAGGACCGGCTGACCCCGCGGCGGGCCAAGGCGATCATCGCCGCGTCCTGGGCGCTGTCCTTCTGCGTGTCGGCGCCCTCGCTGGCCGGCTGGACCCTGGTGGAGGTGCCCGCGCGGGCCCCCCAGTGCGTGCTGGGCTACACCGAGCTCCCGGCCGGCCGCGCCTACGTGGTGACGCTGGTGGTGACCGCCTTCTTCGCGCCCTTCGGCGTCATGCTGGGCTCCTACCTGGGCATTCTGCATGCCGTGCGCAAGAACGCGGTCCGTGTGCGCAACCAGTCCGACACCCTGGACCTGCGGCAGCTCGCCAGGGCCGGCCTGCGGCGGCGCCAACGGCAGCAGCAGGTCAGCTTGGACTTAAGTTTCAAAACCAAGGCCTTCACCACCATCCTCATCCTCTTCGTGGGCTTCTCCCTGTGCTGGCTGCCGCACGCCGTCTACAGCCTCCTGTCCGTGTTCAGCAGGCGGTTCTACTGCAGCCCCTCCTTCTACACCACCAGCTCCTGCGTCCTGTGGCTCGGCTACATCAAGTCTGTCTTCAACCCCATCGTCTACTGCTGGAGGATCAAAAAGTTCCGCGAGGCCTGCATAGAGCTGCTGCCCCAGACCTTCCAGATCCTCCCCAGAGTGCCTGAGCGCATCCGAAGGCGCGTCCAGCCCAGCACCATCTACGCGTGTAATGAAAACCAGTCGGCTGTCTAGCGAGAGGCGGGCGGGTGGAGGGGGCACAGGGCCTGAGCCAGGACCTGGCTGTCCTGCTCTGCCTCCTGGCATCTGAGCCCCAGTGGGCATCCTGTGGCTGCCAGTGAAGCACAAAGGTACTCATTTGTGAGCAGAGGAGCCCGGCTCCCTTGCAGGGTGAATGATTTCCGTGTTCTGCTGCAGGAGAGCAGGGGTGGGTCTGATGGAGACTTCGGGAGGAAGGCGCTGGGAACTGGAGGGAGCAGGGAGTGGGCAGAAAGTCAGGGAAGAGGAGGGAGCAGGGGGTGGGTGGGCTGAGTGTGGGCAGGAGGAAGGCTCTGCTTAAGAGAAACCCTGTGGTTTCTTTACATTGATCACATGAGCGTTTCCAACCAGGCCACATCGTCCTTTCTGTAAACCAAGATCACGCTGGGAGCAGAGGGAGCCGGTGCCTCTCAGCTCCGGGGAGGGCACGTGGGAGACCCTGGGGCAGCTCAGCTGAGAGAAGCCCAGGGAGGGCTGGGTGTGTACTCCACCTCTCCTGCCGCCCAGCACACCCTGTCTCTGGGCCTGGGGCCTCCATCCTCCCTGTCTGCCAGAACTGTCCCTCTGCCCGTCTCTTTCCCTTGCTGCTCCCCAAGCCTCCCTTTGTTCTCTCTGCTTCTCTCTCCAGGGGGCAGAAAAGGCACAGTCCTTCTCTTGTAACTCATCTTCTCAGCAAGTATTTGAAGCGGCCTGCTTTCCATCTCAGAAGTGGTCCGTGGGCTTAGTTTACACGTTTCCTCTGGACACGCTGAGGCTGTAGCCTCCCAAGCTGCCGCATGGACTTCTGCGCTGGGCCTGCTGGCAGGGGCCGGACAGACACCGACCTGCCCGCAGGTCCCCGTTGATCTCTGTGCTCCTCCTACCTCATTCCTCTGCTGTCCTCTGGGCCACCCGCCCGGGGCCTTGGTCCTCCGAGCCCAGGCAGGACCGGGGCCCTGGGAGCGAGGCTGCCGACAGGGAACTTGGCTGCTTGCGCTGTGCCCTTGGCCGCCTGGCCCAGGTCACCCATTACTCCAGAGCTTCTGACGTGGGGTCGGTTTTCCAGAGTTTGAGGCACACCACTGAGTCCATGCAGCTCTTTTTACAGTTTCAGATCTGAAGAGACTGGGAAATTGAAGGAGAAATTCAGGAAATCTGAACCCATGTCTTACTCTAACAGGAGCTAGTGTGTGACCTTGTTCACTTCACCTGACTTCTTGGGCCCGTTTTCCCGTTTACCATGCGAAGAAGCAAGTCTAGATGATCTCCCATGTCCCTCTCATCTCTCAAACACTCAGATTCTAAAAGAGCATCTTGTCTGCTTGTAGTCACAGCTCCTCTGTATTCCTTTATTTCCCACACCATGAGCCTTTATTAAGTGCCTGCTAGACGCAAGGCACTGTGGGAGAAAGAGGGAAGAATAAGGCCCGGGCTGTGCCCAAAGGCAGTGTCCAATTTATCTCAAGATCATTTTAACTCAAGCCTGGCCTGCGTAGCTCAGTGGTTGAGCATCGACCTGTGAACCAGGAAGTCATGGTTGGATTCTGGTCAAGGCACATGCCTGGGCTGTGGGCTCCATCCCCAGTGGGGTACGTGCAGGAGGCAGCCGATCCATGATTCTCTCTCATCATTGATGTTTTTCTCTCCCTCTCCCTTCTCTGAAATCAATAAAAATATGTTTCTAAAAAAATCATTGCAACGCAAATTCGGCCTAACGCAGATGTTCCCTTTCATTGCTCTTCTCGGTTCCTTTCCCAGGTTGCAGCAAGAGGCCAGCTCCTGTCCTCGCACTCGCTTCCCGTGGTGCTGGTGACAGGGGCAGGAAAGAGCGGGCATTACAGAGAACATAATTTATGTTATTTATATTATCTAAGCCCAGAGCAGGACTTGTTGTGAAAATAAGTGATACTTGTTCTCACTAACTTTACCCAGGTGCAGAGAGAAAGATGGGCAGGTGGTGTGTGATTGAGATGGCCTGTCAGTTCTTGTCCCAAGTGCCCCCAGCAGGGTCAGGGTTTGCCTTTGGCTCCCGTCCAGTTCAGCCTTAGTGGGCCCAAAGCACAGCCAGCCCCCGAGGGACCAGGCCAGTGGTCACCTCCCCCTGGTGGGCGTTGAAGAAAATGCTCCCCCAGAGCCTTGAGTAAAAGAGAAATCACAAAACTGAATGAATGAAAGTACCAAAATTCACACCTGTCAGTGTTACATGATGTATGTTGAAAAGTAATGTGTTTCAAACTAATAATTTTGTACATATTTTTAAATAAAGTATTATTGCTCTTTCTGTGTAGAAGACTATGCTCTCTTGTCATAATTAGCACCAACCGTCTGGAGCCCAGAGTCCCCTCAGACACAGCACCTTCAGGAAGCGGAGAAGCCGGCAGTTACTCCCCTCGCCGGAGTGACTGAAGAAGGACATTGAGGGGAGCTGAAACCCAGGAGACTGTGAGCAGTGGGGTCAGTGGCGGGGCCCAGATCGTTTTAAAAAACGGCCCTGCTAAGTAACCTGTGGTCTTCACCTCCGGCTCCCAGCGCGTCACCTTCGGGAGTCTCTCTCCCTCGCCGAACCTCTAAAAACTCTACTCCCCTCGGCCACTGCACAAGGCCCAGGCTGTGCCCAAAGCAGCTGTCCAAACTATTCTCCTTCTGGAGGACGACAACCACAGCTCCCTTGTTTTCTGTTTCTGTCTCTTCTTTAGCCCTGGAGTCACCCAAACCCTGGCACCTGGGTTGTTGGGTGGAGCCTTGGGAGGTGACGATGGTAGAGACTCACCAGGAGGCAGCCCCCGGTTCCTTGGGAGAAAAATGAGACACAAGTCTCAGAAGTGTCATCCCAACTCCGAGTCCCCTGGAAAACCCACTACCTTTGCGTCTTGAATCTTGGTCCCTACTGTCGGGGTGAAATAAAAGCAGAGGTCATCTAGGGCGCTCTGCCAACCCAGACAAGTGACGAAAATCTAGATCGATTCCTACTTTGCTGTTCTGAGACCTGGGTGTGCTTTCCCCTTGCGTGACTTACAGTGCACACTTTTGGGGGGCTAAAAACCTCCTGGTTAAGTATTTATAATGTTGCTCTGCCCCTTGCTCACGCAGTTGGCAGCCCCGCCTCCCAGGGCCTCGAAGTCTCAGAGTGTCAGCATCCAGGCTTCGCTCCTAGGAAATGCACCGGGCGGGGGAGGGTGGAGCCAAAGGGCATGCCCTCCCCAAAACCAGGGCCACCTTGCTCTCTGCGTGATTCGGGCTTCGGGCAAGTGATTTGGTGTCCCAGCTTTCTCCTCTCCCACGTGGTGTAAATACTCCCCCCAAGGCTCCGTGAGGAATAAATGGACTAATGCACATGAAGGGTCCGGCCCCTGCGCGGCCGTGGCAGAGGCTGCACACACGGTGGCAATAGTGGCGACAGTTGTACCGTCCACTTGCCCTGAGCCAACCTTTGTACTCCGGGGCAAGGGCAGCCATTTGTTTCAGAAGCTGGCTGTTAGTCCCCTTCCTCATCGTCAGGTGGGCCTAAGATTTCGGGGTTCAGTGGATAAGAACACAACATCCAAAGGAGCCAGGAGCATGGGATTGACTTTAAAGAGCGAAATTGCCGATGGCTGGACTGCAGCACTTGTCCGCATCCAAACTGTTGCCTCACTGGGCTTCCAGGAGAAGGACGGACAGGTGGACCCCTTTCCATGCGTATCCTGAGAGCACACTGCTCTGAGGGGCTCCTCGCTGAAGAGCTGAGCAGGGTTGTGAGCATGCAGGGAGGCAGGAGTGTGACGAGGGTAAGGGTGGGGCTGCTATCACAGCCGCCCAACTCGAAAGTGTCTGTGAAAAAATAACCCTGTTTCCCTCAATAAGTCCAGGGCAGTGGGTGGGTTCTCTGCCAGGAGGCGGTTCAGGATTCCCTCCTCCCGTCCAGGTTCCCGCTGGCCCTTGAGGAGAGAAAAGGAGGAGCAGAGAGGTAAGACACCCACACTTCCCTGGGCTTCCCTGTCAAGACTGAGTCACATGACCACACAGCTGCATAGGAGGCTGGGAGGTGAGTCTACAGTCTGGAGTGTGTGCCCAGCTCTGGCTTTTTTAGCCTGGAAAGACAGAAGGATTTGGTGTGTTCCCAACAGTCTCTGCCAAGACATGGCACAATTTTGAAAAACAAGGGATCCTAGCACATATACAAATTCTAACATTGAAGTAGAAATCTCATCACTGACCATTTCCTCATTGTACAATAAGCACACCCCTGTCACAGCGACCCCAGAAGGCTGCCTCTCTCTCCACCTCTCACCCCAACATACAGGGACCCGCTCCCAGACACAGAGACTGCAGGCACTTACACCTGTGCCAAGGACGAGAGGAACCACAGGTAACCTTTTAGACACAGAAGATCTGAGACAGGAGGGCTAACCTGAAAATTTGCAGCCACAAAGAGATGAATTTGCCAAATAAGGTAAAAAAATTACTATTTAAAACAAAATCAACAGTGATTGAAAGGTTAAAGTCGTTGGTGCACAGGCAGGCAAAATAACAATTTTAGACAGTGAATAAAGAAAAATTGAATTTATTTAAAGAAAAGGGGTAGGGGGATGGGAATATCCAGAGAGAAGGGTGACACGGCACCAAGCCAAAGAGAATTGGGTCGATGATGGCTGCCCCTAGGAGCTCAAATCTTGTCCTTATAAGCAGTCAACGTCAGGAAGCTTTTGTCATCAGTGGGTTTGGGGGGCTTGATGGGTGGGCTTGGGCAGTGAATTGGGTCAACAGGAAAGCATTGTGGGTGCTGCTTTGCAGTTTTAGTTCCTTATATGGTTTGATTCTTGGTGTCTGGCATTTTTAGTCTGACAAGTCTTCCTGGTGTCTGTCCTCCTGTGGCGGGGAAGCTTACAAATGGCCCTGAGTAATTATATTGCCTTGTAAGTCTTCACAGTGATTGAGACCACCTTTGCCTGAGAATTTGTTAAAGGAAAGACTATAATTTCAAAGCTTTGCCTATTAAAAGGTGGAGACTGGTTGCCAGTGACAAGGAAGACCCCACAGAGTGTGGGAGGGGCACAGGCCAGGCTCTGGCGATTAAATTATTCAAGGAAATTCAGGGCTTCCCATCCTAGCTGGATCTATAATAGAAGGGTGCTGAGCACAAGCATGGTGTGTGTGTGTGTGTGTGTGTGTGTGTGTGTGTGTGTGTGTGTGAGTGCTGAGGGGACGGCCGAGAGGCTACCTTAGCAGGCAGTTCCAGTTCGCGCTCTGCTCTCTGGCCCTTCGTCCTGGAGGAGCAGGCAACATGGAGTTCTAGAGACAGGAGAGGGCCAGCGGTTGCCTGGCTCAGAGAGGGGAACAGGGCGGCCTCTGTGCAGACAGATTTGGCCTCATTAGTCTAATAGGAACATAAAGAACTCACCTGTCTAAGCACTTCGATGTGGCCAGAATGTTACCTTCTGCAGTCAGGAATCTGAGGGCCTGAGGTGCAAGGTCAGCCTTCCAAGGTGTTCAGGTTTAAGACCCTAAAGCTTCCCAAAGGCCAGGGAACAAGCACGAAGTCCCCCACCAGATCTGCACGTTCCATCTCCACTGTGTGCTCCCGTGGCCACTGGCATTTGCTGGTCCTGTGCCAACCCATCCAGCCAAGGGAAAAAAATAGCCAAGCTTGTTTTTGGAGACATTTTTTAAAAAAAAACAGGTTACTGCTCCTTATTAAGTGTCCTTTTGAAATGCTGCCACCATGTTTCCTCATTGCAGTATTGTGTGGTGTCACAAAGATTCAAAAGTTTTATTAAACCAGGAAATGAGGCTCACTAACCTCACCAAAAAAGACAAACAAGGCTGGATAACTTTCACATGGGAAATGGAGAGCTTAAGCTGCTCTCACAGAGGACCCAGAGGGGAGGGAGAAATATGGTAACAGGAGGCTCCTTCTCTCCTTAGCTGCCTGTTCTCTCCAGGGTGTGCTGGGCCTCTTGGGAAGTGGTCAGCCCAGGCTGTTCAGTGTCTCCCCACAAGGGGAGCCCTGTGCGGCTGAAACACACCCATTTGTGGGGTTCTCACTGGGGCCAGATGGGCACTCATGGAGGCTTCCCACACTGAGCACCGAAATGATAATCCACGGGGTTTCACCTCACAGAGCCTACAACTCTGTTATGTCTTTGTGGGAAGCTGCAGGCCTTCTTCTATCTACAGGCCTCTTCTCTTTCCTTCTCAAACAATGCAATAATTAGATATCATTAGGTTCCTACCTAGACAAGAACTGACTCTGTAAAGTCTACAGGTAGCATCTGTACAAGAAGGGCATATTTTCCTTCTTTATAAATAAATATTCCCTAGGCTTAAGAAACGTTTTAAAAATATACCTATCAATTGACTTGTTAATTATACAGGTAATTTGCTCCTTGTAGAAATGAAAACAACTGAAGATTCCAAACTGATGGCAGAGTAAATGGATGCTACACTGACACGCTCCCAGGGCCAAACTGGAATTACAATTAAAATACAGAAAAACCATCCTAAATAATCAACTGAAGACTAACTGGAGAGAACCCTCATAACCAAGGATGGAAAGAGACTGGTAGGAAGTGTGGAGGTGCAAAAGGCTGGCTGAGCTCCCACAGACAGAAACTGAAATTCCAAAGGGATAGCTCAGCTCCAGGGAGTTTCCACTGAGAGCACCAGAACTTAGAAAGGTGCCCATACAACATCAGGCTATGAAAAGCAACAGGGATGCTATCTGCCATGGAGAGATATGCAGGCACCCTCTTAAAGGGCCAACACACAAAATTTTGTGTATAGCCACTCACCTTGGGATCTGGCAGAGGGAGGGAAAAATGGACTGGAGCTGTGTGAGCAGAAATCAGGGTTGGGGGCTCTAGAGTTAGACTTCGAAAGGCTGACTCCCTGGTTTCCTGTGCTGAGTCATTTCCTCACACTGCAGAGGACAACTTTCTCAGGCGAACTTTTGCTATCCAGGTGGTTTTGGCCATGGGGGGGAGGCAGTTGCCCCACCCTATTGTAAAACCCCTTACCTCACCCTGTGGAATTTCTTTTTTTTTTTTATTGCTTAAAGTATTACAAAGGGTATTACATATGTGTCCTTTTTCTCCCCCCGCCCTTGACAGTCCCCTAGCCTCCCCTATCCCCCAGTGTCTTATGTCCATTGGTTATGCTTATATGCATGCATACAAGTCCTTTGGTTGATCTCGTACCCCCCTCCCTCTTGCCCCACAACCCTCCCCGCCCTTCCCGCTGCAGTTTGACGATCTGTTTGAGGCAGCTCTGCCTCTGTATCTATTATTGTTCAAAAGTTTAT